ACCCAGTGGCAGCAGATCGGGTTTCCCCTGTCATGAATATTCAGAGCTCCCCTGGCCCAGCCTCTGCTACTGTTTACTTAGGCAGGAGTGGCTGGATCTCAGGTTAACCTTGACACAGAGCGAAAGGGAGCACCAGGTAGAACAGCAGCACCCCTGCACCTGCCTCCGCCTGCACCTGAGATGTGACAGCCGCTGCCCCCACCCTCTCCTGGCGCGCAGCTCAGCCTGCCGGCCCCTCAGTTGGCAATAGCGCCCCGGAGCTATCCCGGCCCTCGGTCCCTTCTCTCCTGCCACTGAGTGCTCCCCGGGGGAGCAGAACGCACCCAGCAAGGGACTGAATCGAAGCAGGTATGTTGGCCTGGGTGTTTTTGGGAATGGGGGGGCAGGAGTGGGAAACCTGAGCCCAGACCCATGAATGTTTCATTGATCAGTACTGCCGAGGACAGGCCAACCTGGTGCCGAGCGCCTTCAGCTCGGGGGAAGTTGAGGGGCGCTCAGCCCCTGACAGGATCGGGTCTGAAGCCGGCTTCAGGAGGTGGGTAGCTTGGCAGCTCTTTGTAACCGGCCAGGTTTGACCGTGATCCAGGGGCGATCTGGGCGGCTTGTGGGGTCGGGAATGGGAGTCGGAGCCTTTCCCCTCAAGTGGGGCCTGTTACCCCAAGCCCAGGCTGGCAGTGACCGAAAGCTGCTCCTGTGTGATTGGGGATCCATGGGAATGGGGGGGGGTGTATAAGGGGCATTCGTTTGGATCTCATGGTGCCATCTCAGCAGAGAGGTCCAGGAGTCAATGGGCCAGGGAGACTCAACTCCTCTTAGCCCTGGAGATGGAGGCACATGCCGAGGGGGCGTTTTGGGGGAATGGTTACCTTGCCTTTCCCCTGGCTAGCCCGGATCGGTGGCTATCAAGGGCCATCAACCCAGCACCTTTCACGGGACACTTTTTTGGTCAAGGTTCAGCCTTCCCAGGTGGAATAGACAGTTAGTGCCTAACAACCCACTAGCCCAATTCATCCCTGACTAGACCTGCTGAAGCATCTCTGGGGTCTCTCCGGGACAGAACTAATAGCGGCAGCGCCAATGGAGGGGGGGTACAGCGTTTGTTCCATGCAAAATGGGCTTTTAGCTTAACCCTTGGCAGCCAAACGAATGCTAAGGGGCGGTGGGAGGTGGGTGTAGAGATACTGGCCATTTGCAGCCCCTGAAGGGTTATACCAGCCCCCCGCCCCTCGCCGGGGCTGCCCCTGTCACATGCAAACACTGGCTACAGATGGCAAGGGGCTCCCCCACCCCCAGTGGGTCACTGACATATGAAAGCGACTGGATGCCCCGCGGCAGCTCCCTCCATGGGAATCTCCTGCGTGGGGCAGGGCTGTGTGGGTTTTGGGGTGGCCAGTGGGAATTTAGGAGGGTTGCTTAGCGGGTAGGTAACAGCAGGAGAGGGGTCTCATCTCACAGGGCACCAGGAAGCGCTGTATGGAGAAGAGTCTTTCATGCCATCTGCAGAGCAAACGGGCCACTCAGGGCACAGAGAGAGTGAATACGGGGGGGAGGGGTAATCGGGGGGATCCAGAGGGCAGAGATCTCAGACACTGGCAACCTTCCCCACCAGGCATGAGGGACTGACACCCCCCACCCACCCCTGCCTGGGCTCTGCGATTCTGCCTGAGCTATAAATGTTTAACTTGCTGAAATATTTGATGGACTTGGCCCAAGGTTACTGCCAGTTCTCACGGGATGTGCCCTCGCCACCCCCGACCCCAGAAGCCTGCCTGTGCTGAAACCCCCCCCCCCCCCGCTGATGTAACACCGACCTCCCAGCTTGCAGGAACTCCACCCCTCGGTCACAGGGCTGGCGAGGGGAAACGCACCCCCGCAGGCTAACAGCACCCGTGGGGGCTCGGGCCTGTCTCAGGCAGGCTGTGCTCAGGAGGCAAGAGGACAACTGAGCCGGGAAGCCCAGAGAATTCCTAGCCAACCTCTGGCAACCTCACCGTGTCCTCTCCCCTCCCTCAGTACAGGAGGTCCCTGCACGTGACCGTGGGTTCCATTTCCCCAGAGAGACCCACTGGATTGCAGGGCCAGGGTGACTTTGAGTGGGCTTTGGCGACTGGGCTCATTTCTTACATGGGAATTTTCCCTGCACGTTTATGTTGCTTGTGCATGCAGGCGTGTGTGTGTGTGTGTGTGTACGTGTCCTTCTGTGACTGTGCCGGCCGCTGTTTGCACGTACCCAGGGATCTCTGTGTATGCGCAGGTCTGTTTGCAGGTGGATGTACAGCCATGCGACGGATGCGTGCACTGGATTCTCAGCAGGTGCATGTATGTCCGCACAGGAGTGTCTGTGCAGACGGGTGCTCAGACAGACAAACAAACGGCACTGTGGGTGGTAAGGGCTCAGCGCCGGGCTGAGAGAGGGCACAGCAGCTCTGTACGGGATGTTCTCGAGGCAGCATCTCGCCTAGAGCAGGATGGCAACAGAGCACCCTCCCTTGCTCTCCGGCTTGGAGCGGAGGGTGTGAACGGGTGCCTAGGAGGAAGCGATCGGGCTCTGTGCTGGGAAAGGGACCGTGCTACGGTGGGGGAAGCGTCCTTGAACCTATCCCGGGCTTCCAACCTCATCCTGACGCAGGGGACCCGAATCTGACATTTATCCTCAGCCCCCCCCCCCCCGCCCCCACCTCGCCCTTCTCCCAGCCCTCCGCTCCCAAACGGTGACGTAGCCCCACCGGCTGTCCGGCGTTCACTCCGGAATCGGAGAGGGGCCCCCGCAGAGCCAGGTGCCTGAAGGGCAAAACACCCTGTCCGTCATTCACACTGCTTCCAGCACTAGGATGAACCCTTTGGGGACTAGGCCCAAGTTTCTATCGGTTACATAAAGACAAATCCAGGTGAGCTGTGCCAACGCCAACAGAACGGCTGTGGCTCTCCAGTGGGGTGACTCTGACCCACAGCCCCTAAAACCAAGCTGTCTCTAGTGGTGGGGGCTGTTCTGCAGGGCAATGGCGAACGGACTCAGTCATCAAACAGGCCTTTTCCACAGCTAATGACCCCAGTGCCGTACCCCTTCCTTGGCAGTCAGCCTGCTACAGACTGATCGGGGAGACCGGTACTCCACGGAGCCGGCCAGTTTTTCTTAACCTCCCCTGGCTGCACAAAGGGACAGACCGACCCAGGGGAGGCCGCCCAGCTGTGCCCATGTGAGGTTTTTCCAACTCACTCCAGTATATTGCTGAGTGTCTTCAAGAGCTCGGCTGTAGCTCTAGGTCAGGCAGTGCTGATGCGCCTGTGTACGGGACACCCCATGAGGGACTGACCTCCCCTCCACCTCCTTCCCCCTCCCGGCTGCCACCTGGCTATAGAGCGATTGAATGTTTCTGTACAAACAGCTGGAGGGAGCGATCAAAGGGTGAGATACGCCTTCAGCAAACACCCAGATGGGATCATGCCGGAGGCTGTTGCCGTCCAGGAGAGAGGCAGGGTGGAAACCAAGGACTTGAAACTTAGAGCAGGAGCACTGATTGGACCTGACTGCGGCGTCAGGAGCGCTGGATTCTATCTCTGGCTCTACCCTTGGGGCAAGTCACTTTGCTGTGACTCAGTTTCCCCATCTGTAAAATGGGGATGAACAGGAAATGGCTCCGCTTTACTCTGGCCAAATTTCCAAAGGCACAGAGTGAGTTTTACCTCGGGGCTTCAGGATTAGGTCTTGCATATGGCCAAAATGCCTACGGGCCCTAGAGATGGCCTCGTTCAATAGAGCCACGTATCAGAGGGGTAGCCGTGTCTGTATCCACAAAAACAACGAGGAGTCCAGCTCTGAAGAAGTGGGGTTTTTTTACCCATTATGCCCAAATAAATCTGTTAGTCTTTAAGGTGCCACCGGACTCCTCGTTGTTCCAGTTCAACAGAATTATTCAACTGGATTTTCTGATTATTGGGAGCAGGCTTAGGCAGGGTAAGACAGGGAAAGAGCTGGGCCGTGGCCCCACAGCATTTTCTGTCCAATTAAGACAAGATGCAACAACGGGGAGTAGCAAAGAATTGCCATGGGGAGAGAGGGGGAGAAAAGCAGCAAGGAGAACATAGACTGATGTGGGCAAAGATAAATGGGTTGCGGTCGGCTCTTTGACGCATTAGTGGCTATAGGCCCCAGGCAAGATCAGGGCTCCGTTGTGCCAGGCACTGTGCAAACACATCGCAAGAGAGTCCCTGCTTGGATATTTAAGTAGACCAGACAAGCACCAGAGAGGAACAAGAGGCACAGACAGGGGTAGTGACGTGGCCCAATGTCCCACCGTAGATCAGCGGCTCAGCCGGGAGTAGGAACCCTCCCCAGGCCTCCCGCCTCCAAAACTAGCGCCCTAGCACCTTGCAAATGAATAGCGCCCGCTGCGGGCGCCGAAGGCTCGCTGCGTCAGGCTGCGTCGGCACGTTGCAGTGAGTCGAGGCTGCAAACACAGCACCACAAAGCAATAGCTGCGGGGGCCACCGCTCCTTTGACCTTGGTCTCATCAGAGGCCTTGCTGAGACTTGACTGAGTTTTGAGCCGTGAGTTTCCCCCACAGCAACCACGGCAGCAGCTTCTTCAGAAACAACCGCACGGGGGATGCCTGCTCCTCCTCTCTTGTTGGCAGCGTTGGTCCTGGGGGGGGGGGGGGGGGGGGAATGGAATGGCCCTCTCCCTGGGGGGCAATGGGCTCTGAAGGGAATCCCAACCAGCAGAGGGATGGTCACGCTGACCCACGCCCATGAAAGGGGACGGGCAAAAGTGGAGACAAATCAGATGGCGCAGAATGGGGATGGACAATGGAATGTATTGGCTTATGTGGGCAAGCAATGCTGCCCTCTAATGATCAGCCCACAGGGTAGAAAAGGGACCTGTCCTTACTCTGCCATCTGAAGGAGCTCTCCCTTAGCACCGTTGTGGTTTTGGAGCTGAAGATCCAGGGTTCTCATCTCCGTTCCAAGGGAGGGCATGGTATAAAATTGATCCAATTGTCCAGGCAAACAGCAAACCTTAGGAAAAGGGTCTGCTAACCTATCTGCCTTCTCTCTAGAGACACGTTCCTCTGCCACCAGAAACCACCATGGCAGAGACCAACAGCTGGTGGAAGCTCACCTTCCTGCGGAAGAAGAAATCCACCCCCAAGGTCCTGTACGAAAGCCCAGACATCTATGCTAACGAGAACCACCAGGAGGCCACACGGACAGAAGCAGGGAGCAACGGTGGCGCCGAGAGTGAATTCAATGCCCGGCTGGAGAAGATCGTGGATAAGAACACAAAAGGCAAACATGTCAAGGTCTCCAACTCCGGGCGTTTCAAGGAGAAGAAGAAAGTGCGAGCCACGCTGGCTGAAAACCCCAACCTCTTCGCCGATGGCGAGCGGGAGGAGAAGTGAGGCAGGGGAAAGCAGGCATTGGGGGGAAAGCGCTGCAGGGTGGGACCAACGCCCTGAGGCCCTTGCGCATGGACCCGTCACGACTCAGAGCCAGCCTAGATGTCAATTCTGTTCTCTCCGCAAATGAAGTAACAAGGGGGCAGGGGCCACCCTGCTGTAGATTTCAAAGACTTTCGGTCCTGACGTGCACTCGCGAAGGAGAAAGGACTCGATACTTTTTATTTAATACAAATCATCATATTTAAAATAAATGCCACTGGGGGATTGTCATGAGCTGGAGGTGTCCAGGTCTTGCTCTGAAGCCTTGGAGGTGGGGAGGAGTCAAACACAGAGCAGCTCAGAGGCCTCTTGCAAACACCCTCAGCGGTGCCCAAGAGCCCGTGGCTAGAGCCAGCGGTTGATGCAGGGGGCCATGGGATGGGAGGAGCCAGTTCATTCTCATCCACCCTGTTGTTCTACCACTGCACCTAGAAGATGGCTGAGAAGGGCTAGGAACTTCATCTGGCTCGGCCCTGGGGGATTTCCCAGCAACTAGCCTCCGCTCTGTCCGCACCCACCGACACAGGAAAGGTAAACATAAGATTGGCTGAGAGACAGGGTTGCACCTTTTAATACCACAGAGATTATTCCCTGGCCTGGGAAAGAGAAATACTTGGCCACAGGCAGTCACCAGCTGAACTGCACCACTCAAGGCAGAATTAGGAATAGGACCCGTGATCTTCATGTCCTGGATAGCAGCACTCAGCCAGTTGAGCTAAAGGAGAACCACCCTTAGCTGTAGCAATAGCCTCTCTTGGCCTCTGGCTACTACAGAGCAACACTTGGATAGATCTGATCTTCCAGCCAGCGGGGGGCACTGGGGTAAGAGAACTAAAGATTCCACTGATAGGAAAAACTGCTGCCAGTCGGGTGGGGGGTCTGGGGGCTTTGGAACGGGGTTACGGCCCTGAGAGCTTATTTTCTTTGACTCACTTTCTCTCACTGCTGGGCACTGGCTGATGTAGAAACCAGCTGGAGTCTGCCAGAGTGACTCTCTAAGAGGAGAAGACAGACAGTCTCGTGATTAGCACGGGAGCACCGGGAATGAGAAAGCCTGGACTATGCCTCGGTTTCCTGCAATGAGCAATAAGGGGCCATCTTTTGAGTCAGCTTTCGGACCATAATCTCACTTTTAAAGTTTCCTTCTGCACAGGTGAAAAATGCTGAAGGACACGCTAATGTTCCCAGTAACTTAAATTCAAGGTTATTTGTTAACTGCATTCATCTGCCTCTGAGTGGCTACCAGCCACACGTACCTGGCAGCCCAGGTGGACTTTAGCAGCAGAGATTCTAATAACTCACTCATCAAGCCATTTTGCACTCATAAAACGCGCATGTTTTGCTGAACTTTGTGCACAGCAGCAGCTGCTGAATTCACGTTGTTTCTGGCCGAAGCGCCTGTTGCAATGATGCAGAATTCCCCCCCCCCGGGTTACAAAAGGAAAAGTTTGCTGGCCCTTTTAATTTCCAAGAGCCATTTTGCTGCTGCTACTTTAGAGGCCTTGATCTTCCTGGCTGGTGCTTTCTTCATGTTCAGAGTCACTAATTCATGGGGTGGGCAGTTAAAAGGTGAACCGTTCCCCATGCTTGTGAGAGTGAGGTTTAGCCACTGTACGCAAAGTGTAGGCCAGTTGCGGTGGCTTATGGGGGGGTGGGGTAACACCTTGCACCCTTAAGAGACAAAACACGCTTGTAGCTCATAGTTAGGGTTCATATCCGGAGCCTGACACTGATTTGTTTTTTGAAGATGCATCTTTTGTAAGTGTTTATAGATGTTCTTTGTTAATAAACAAACCTGAAAACAAAGGGAGCTCAGTGGTTGATCTGTGAAAACACTCCAGGGCTTGGATCAGATTGAAAACTGTTCTGCTTGGAAAGATCAAGGGACCCTCACCCTCTACCACTGGACAAGGGGGCAGGTGATACTGTATCTATAAAAAAATTAAATAAATTAATTAATAGAGATAGCCTATCTCGTAGAACTGGAAGGGACCCTAAAGGGTCATTGAGTCCAGCCCACTGCCTTCACTAGCAGGACCAAGTACTGATTTTGCCCCAGATCCCTAAGTGGTCCCCTCAAGGATTGAACTCATAACCCTGGGTTTAACAGGCCAATGCTCAGACCACTGAGCTATCCCTCCCCCTAAATTAAGGGAGGTGGTGTCTCCCTGCACCTAGCTGTAGGTGATGACCAGACAGCAAGTGTGAAAAATCGGGACGGGGTGGGGGGTAATAGGCGCCTATAGAAGAAAATGCCCCAAATATCGGGACTGTCCCTATAAAACAGGGACATCTGGTCACCCCACTTCAGGGCCTCACTGGTGCCACTGTTGAGTCTCTGGAATGCTATTTTCAGGACTCTCGCTCTTGAGGTGAAGCGTGTATGTAGACGTACTGGGGGAGCTCCAGAGCCATGTGGGAAGTGCTCTAGAACGAGGGTGCATTGGTGGAGAGCTCTCCAGTTCCAGCACTGTTTCAGAGGGATGCTTTCAGACGCACCATTCCAGCGAAAGCCATACTCACGCACACCCAGCCCTGTCGCTACCTCATGTTACCGGTGCCCAGTACGGACTTCCCCCCACCGCATCGCCTGATGCCAGGAGTCAAACCTGCTGCCCCAGCAGACAGGGGGCGAGGTGAATCAGGTTGGGCCCCTCCTTGCCTGAGCATTGTGATCAACACAAATAGTTTCACAGGGACGCTCAAAAAGATTTTCTGTTTATTAGCAGGGAGTGGCTGAGCCTGAAGCCGAAAGGAAAGAAAGTAAGTGACCTTCCAGTTATTACAAAGGCCATATTATCCCACCAGCTTTGATTCAGACACCCCACCCGCCCCCAATAATTAGCCACTCCACAAACACACAGCCACTAGATAACCCAGGGATATTATGTTCCTCAGAAGCCTCCACCCTTATAGTTTGTTACCAAAATAAACAGGGGAAGAATTCTGCAGACACACAAGGTGTTCTTTGTCCCAGACAAATGATCAGTGAGAACCACAGCTCCTTGAACAGGTGGGTGGAGAGGAAGAAGGATGTAACTATTGGCTAAGACCTATGGGGATGGAGAAGGAAAGGCAGTAGGCCGCTGGAGACCTGTTTACACGGCAGCCCATACTGCAGCATCTGGGCATTTGCAATCCTGTTTTCAAGCAAAATTCAAGCTGCTGCCCATCAGCGGCAGCTGCAAAGGCTGGGAATTGACTCACCTTTGTAATTAGTCACTGAGAGTAGAAAATCTTGGTCTATTTCCCCCGTCGTCAGATTCACCGCAGCTACCCTAGCTGTCCTCAGCCTGACAGACCAGCTTACATTCAGCTGCATGCCAGGTACAGCGGCTCTAAACGGACACTGGAAAAGCTGCAAGGGAGGGGGGAAATATTCTCGTCACTTAATCTTCTATTAAACAGGATCACATTGCTCACGTCTTGTTAGAGCACTCGGGTAAGCCTGGGAGAGGAAATAATTCGGCAGGAAGCAGTTGAGCTTTCAGCTTAACGTGGTTGTACAGAACCTATCGCAACAGAGGCCCGGTCCAAGACTGGGGCTCCTAAACACCGCGGCCATGCGAATAGGGGGAGCGGCAGAGCCGAGCTGGGAGCAGAGACAGGCGGCAGCTGTCTGCTACTGCTCCTTTAAGATAGGTTCTGGATTTTGGGGGAGTTCTTTGCTCGAGTTCATTCATCCACGGGCTACTCTCTGACCTGTCAGAGCAGAACCTCCTGCTCTTTCCCGTATCTCTATCCACAGTGCTGATCTCCCCAGCCAACCAGACGATGTCTCATCCCAGTCACTGAGTCGGCGCCCCCCCCCCCCCCGGGCTTACCCAGCTGCCTGACTCCTGGCAGCGGAGTAGGAAACATTTTCATCTCATTTAAAGACACTGCTTTGAAATGTTCTCGTTTTAAAATAACCCGCTCTGGGGTAGGCATCTGGTCGTCATCTCCACCGTAGCTGAGCGCCGCCATCTTTAAGGGACCTGTCGTCACAAACCCTGGGGAGGCAGGGCAGGGCTGGTCTCCTTTCACAGCTGGGCACAAGGACCCTAAAGACTCAGATCCCCAGAGGTGTGTCAGCTCCTAATTCCCAGCGATTTCAATGGGAGTTAGGTGCCTAAATAACTGAGGATCTGGGCCCAAGTGACTTTCCCAAGGTCACCCAGGCAGTCTGGGGCAGCGCAAGGAGCTGAATGCAGGTGCCCTACTGCCCGGGATAGCGGCCTAACCACTGGGTCATCCTTCCTCTTCCAGAAACGGACATAAGCAGATTCCATTTCCGATCGGCGACTAGGGCAGCGGCAACGGAAAAGGCTGGCCAGAGTTTTGCTTAGTATTTAAAACCCAAACATCAATGATCTGACCCTTTCCCTCTTCAAAGCGGCTTCACAGACGCTCCCTGGCTCTCACCCTCCCTCCCCGCCCTCGCAAAGCAGGCAAGCGCTGTTGCAATTTTATGGATGGCTGAACTTCCGCCTGCAGAGCGGAGACCACTCCAAGGGCACGTGGTGAGTCAGTGGCAGAGCTGTGAATAGCACACAAGGATCCTGCCTCCTAGTCACCTGCTCCAGCAGCTTCTAGGCCACACTCCAAAGGGCCAGAGGAAAATGAACCTGCACCTTCGCAAAGGGGAGACTGCAAGAGAGCGAACTGTGGGCTCCACCTAGAACCAAAGCCAGCTGTGGTCCCCAGGTAGAAGCACACTGGGGGTCTGGGTGCCTCCAACCCACATCCCCCTGTGGCCCAGTGGTTAGAGTAGGGAACCATGAGTCAGGACCTCTGGACTCTAATCCCAGCTCTGGCACAAGAGTGGTGATTACGGCGGGGGGTTGTCAGGATTCCATGGTTCTATACCCAGGTCTACAACAGACGTGCAAGTCTTTTCACCTCCCGGTGAAATGGAGCTCACCCATACGTGAAATGTCATGAGATCCCCTTGGAAAGAGGCTATGGAAGGTTCAAAGTACTTACAACCTCAAGCCATGTCAGGCAGAAGATGCCATGGCAACCACTGCAACAGCCGGTAGCAACAGACACTTTATCTCCCTGTCATCTGCTAGTTTCGTTGTGAAACAGCCCAGGAGGGGTGGAGGCAGCTCACAGCTATTTGGCCTGTATTGGAAACCAAAGCTGTGTTGGATACAACCTCTGCCCTTGGGACTCCCACAGCCCAGTGCGGTCCCCAGCCCTTCTCCCTGGGCACACAGCTAGCCCTCGGGCTCTGCAATGCTCCTCTCTGTTTAGTTAGCAGAGGGTGTGGAGAGTGACTCACTCCCAAGTTATTGTTGCTGGATGATTTTCCACCCCCATTCACACGGAGCTGGGATCTCCCCTCTCCTGCAGAGATCAGCTTTGGGGGTCACGCTTCCCTGCTGCTCAGAGCCAACCTGCGACCCCTCCCAAGCACTTCCCATTGCCGCAGCCAGGGACACCCTCAGAATTTATTCTAGACTGACAATCCTGCCCCCCCATCTGCATCAGAATTTAGGGGTCCCCCTTCTCCTCAGCTTTCCCTCATCTGCACTACTCCCCTCAGGCATTCAGAGATCAGCTGCAGCTTCAAACCTTCATTTGAATACGAACCATTAAGCCTATGCAAATGGCTGCTGTGTGTGAAACCTACTTGGGGTACACCTGATTCCCTGAGCCTCCCAGCAAAACAACAGGCCAGGCCTGCCACTCCATTACAACCTACTGCACCCCTGTGACTGGTCTGGCTTTAGCTATTTTAGCTTACAGGGAGGGGGGGTTTGAAGAGGAGCTGTATTTTGATGAGAGTCACGCAACTTTTGCAGCTCTCCCCCAAGTCTGCAGCCGGGGGGGGGGGGCTCCAACGAGGGCTGTGCGAGCGGTAAGAGGATACGTAACAAACCCATCCCTTCGGTTAAAGGTATCAGGCACCTATAGTTCATGGGGGATCGGCCCAGCCAGGCTGCCACGCCTGCAGTTGAAAGAGCGACACCCTGATTAGCTGTGCAGCCCGACAAAGGCTGATGGAGGCACTCACGGCAGGACAGCTGATGCACCTGTTTCTCCCCTCCCCCCCCCCCTGGCCCACTATCCCTCCCTTCCGTACGCCATGAGAAAGGGCCACAGGAGGCTGCTGCTTTCCCCTCACCGCTCCCAGCACAAGGGGGCAATTGCTAGAGCAGAGCAGACCTGCTTCCGCCAGCAGCCAGGCAAGAAACCCAGACACGGACAATTACGAAAGCCCCCGCGCAGGGGAATGGAAGTTCTGTACTTCGCTTGCAGCTCATTGTCTCCTGCGTGGCAAAGGAACTGATCCTTCCTAAGACAATCCCCACAGGGAGGGGGTCTCATTGGTCACAAGTGGATAAAAGCGGGACTGGGAGACAGGAGGGCGCTTCCCCACTGCAGTCCCTGCATTTTGCTTTTGCTCTTACGCAGCGATGAGGTGGCAAAGGAGGGAGGGGGACAGGCAGGCCTGGGGCTAAGGGAGAGCCCTAGGCTAAGAGCAAAGAAAGTGCTTAGGGCCTGCGGTTGGTCACTCCCCCTGCTGCATGGGAATCCTGCCACCACAAGTGAAACAGCCAACAGACCCTGACCCCGATTGGCTGGGGAGGAAGCAAATGACTAAGGGTGCAAACTCGCGCAAGGAGCCGGGAGAGGGCAGAGGTTATCAGGCTGCAGTTTCACTGGGACACAACCCAAGAAAGCGAGAGCAAACGCAGGGAACACACACATTCCGGACAAATTTCTGCTCTGCGGCCGGGAGACCAGCTCCCCCTGCTGGGGGTTAAGGCCCCTGGCACCGCTTGCTTGCCAGGGGGAGAGATTGACAAACAAACGCAGCTCCTCCTGCTGGACAGACAGAAGAATACAAACCAGTCCCTCCCCCCACGTAGGCATGTTTTTTCCCCTTTAAAAACTGCAACACACAAGTTAATAGTAAACCCAATCCCCTTCCAGCGCCACTCGTCAGCTTGGACTTTATTTGTGAGTTTATACATTTAGGGAGACTTTACACACCAGCACTGATAAAAGCAGCTCTAAGCCCGGAGGCACCGCCCCCAGGCTGGAGTCTGGCAGGAGAACATCCTTATACAGAGAGATTATACAGATATCACAGCCACAGACATTACCAACAACATGATTGCTCTGTCTGCATCCAGAATCGGTTACGTTATTGCACTCAAAGCAGCACTGGACAAAATTAAACACCCAATTACAGCTAACGAGCACACAACACGTCTGCTCCCCATGTCACGTTGGCGCTTGAGGACTGGCAGGTTAAAACAGGGGGGCCCTCAGGCAGGAGGCACTTACAGGGAGGCTGTCCAGGAGAGCCAGCCTGCCTGTGGTTTTGTCTCAGCCACCCCCTTGGTAGGTGGTCCAGATAACCAACAAGAGGTCCGAGAGACTCACTAGCCAATGGCCTCTCTGTGAAATGAGTTTGGCGGGTCTCAGCTCAATTCCCTGTGAAGCAGCATCCACATGACACAGTTGGCACTAACTGCCCCCATAGACACATGCTTCATCAGCCGGTTCAGCAGAGATGCCCAGGATCAGATGAGCTATGGAGACTGAACTGACCCCAGGCCTAGAGTTGCCCCTTTACATCGGGGCAGACACGCCTTGGCAGGGGAAGCTCCCACTGGGATAGATGGAGGGCTTCAGTCTCCAGGGCTGCCAATCTGGCACCTCTGAGCACCCCCAAATATTGCCTGGTTTTGTAAAAGTTAAGACAGTTGCCCTGTGAAGTGCAGGAGCAAGGGGGCCGTACCCCATCCTCCGCAGCTCCTGGGTAGGGGGGTGGGGGCAGAAGGGTATTGAAAATATCCCAGGTCCCTGTGTGAAATGATCTCGCTCTTGGCCTTCAAGGGGCAAGCCTCTCATACACCCAGTTCCCCTCTCCCTTGTGTGTCATGAGTCCCGTGGGGGCAGCGGCGTCCCGGAGGCGCCGGAAGACGATGCGGTCATGTAAGCGGTTGGTTTGGCCCTGCCAGAACTCCACAACGTCTGGTTTCAGGATGTATCCCCCCCTGAGGGAAAAACAGATGCTGTTAGAGGCGCCCATGCACAGCAGCCGCCTTCATACAAAGCCAAGTAGGACCAGGAAGTTCCCTACGACGAAGCGGATGGCGCTAAGCTTTTACACAGCACATATCACGACGGCCTGTGGGCACCTAAAAAGGACGTGAGGCGTCCGCACACAACCACGTCAAGCCCAATGATGCTCGCTGCTCTGGGATGGGCTCTGCATCTTCTTGCAGGGAACAGCTCAGAAGCAGGCCAATCTCAACCTTAACTGATTCCCGAAGCGTCCTTTAAGTAAATCCAGGCTTTGTCAGGAGCTGGTAATCAGCTGCATGAAAGCTTTAGGTTCAAGCCCTGCCCCTGGCCTTCAATCTAAATCTAACATTGATGCTGCAGGGCAGAGGGGGAAGCAGCAGCACTACGGAGAGGTACCACCCTTTGGAAAGATTAAACCTAAGTGCTGTCTGTCCATCTCTACCAGCCGGGAATCCGAGATCTTCTGGCCGTTTTAAGACCAACATCCCCCAGTTTCTAATAGCCACAGCTGAGGCACTCGGAGGTGTAGCAGAGGAATGGGAAGGCACACCGAGGGAGAGAGTGGAAGACCAGGCCTAACTTACACAAAAGCAGATTTTCCCCACTAAGCACCACTCACCAGTACGCAGGCTTTGGCACGGTTCCCTCCCGGTACAGCTCTTCCAGCTCTGTGTTCTTCTTCCTTAAATACTGCAAGGGAAAGGGAGACAGTCTGAAGGCCTGGGGCTTCCTGCCGTGGAGCACGCGTGCAAATAGCAGGCAAAGCATGGCCTGGGGCCCTCACTGTCCCCGGTAGGAGGGGAGATGCACTGGGACACACAGCGAGGGAACAAGCTCTGAGACACCCAAGGGGCCGGAATCCAGCACAATCCACCCCGCCCTCGAGTCCCACTGAGCCTCACCTCCCTGTCGGGAATCACGGTGCTCTGGCGACTCACAACCGCCCCGATCTGGCTGCTTCGGGGCCGGGAGTGGAAGTAGTGCTCCGATTCCTCCTCCGGGAGTCTCTCCACAGAGCCCTCGAGACGCACCTGCAACAGCCACAGTGGGATGGGACCTGGCCCCAGGAAGGTGGGCACACTCCCGCCAGGGGCCAGAAGGAAACCAAGTTAATTTTGCCAACAAGATTAGGATCCAGGGTGGGGCATCAGGCTATCCTCCCTCTGCGGATTCACCAAATGTCAAGTGCTGACTCCGGCCCCTGCTGTTATACCAAGTGATCCCCAACCCCGGCGTGAGATGGGGAGGAGGCGGTTTGAATCACCACCACATCCTGCAGGGTAGAAAGAGCTCTAACTCCCCTCGAGAACTAGCTCCCCGAAAGGCAGCCAACTCACCAGCCCTCACCTCAGGCAGAGTCAATTGGGAAGAAGGTCTAGAGAACCCACCTGAGATCCATTTAGAACTCAGTTGGTTTCAGTGCCTCTCCCCGCTGTCCATTATTAAAGACCTAGATTTCCTTCCCCCATAAGGAACCTGCCGCTCCCTCCCTTTTTTCTCTGGTACATAGCTGAGAAACAGTCTCCGCCTCCGGTAATTATATTTTGCTGACCTAAATCACCCTGCAGTTTCAAGTCAATAAACTCACTTCTTGGCGTTATTCTTCAATTCCCCTTCTAAGAACTATTGTGCAGTGTTGCTGAGGGCTGTTAAACGGCTACCACCTTTCATCCCAGAGGCAGCTGCATTCAGTGGTGTGTGAGCGTTCTCTGTAAGATCAGTTCATAACCTAGAAGCTAGTCTAGCACTGTGAGAATACCTCAAGCTGTCAAAGTCGCAGCCCCCAAGGAGCTGAGTAAGTTACAGATTCCAGTCACCCGTCCCATCTGATGTGAAGCAGTTTTTGAGCTTTTAAGAAGCCTCCCCAGCCCAAGATGAGCAAATAGAGGGTCTCTGCTCAGTGCTGCGGTCTGCACTTTGAGAGCGAGAGAGACCAGTGTGGCTCTGAAGCAGACCGCATCTGCCATCTCCTCTAGCACTTCGCCCGAACAGGCCTCACCAGTAACTATGATACTGCATGCAGGGTGCTGAGCCTACCCCCACTGCCGCTTCCTCCCCTTGCTCGGGATCAGAAGGCACAACTCACCTGGCGATTAAGGGGCTCCCAGTAAAAGACGACTGAGGCAAAAGGATTGGAGTCCTGCAGAGTGGGGAGGCGGGGGGAATAAAAGCCACAAAACAAAGGACTTTCATCAATTGCGTAACGTGTCACATCTTAAAAGCTAGAGAAATTACCCACCTCTCCTAGCTTAAACTCTGCTCAAGGGTTTGGGACTTGGAGGAATTTAAGAGCACACGACAGACTAAGCCAACACAGCCCATAGGGAGGTGCCAACATGCTATGCATCCCCTTGATCAAATCAGGATGGGGAGTGGAGGGGGGCACAAGGAGATATCTCCCTCCCACTCTCTGATCCCCACACCTAGGATCAACATAGCCCAAGGCACTTTGGTCCCTGAGGTGTATCTGTGGGCTGCTCTTCTATACCGAAGGAGAGAGGCAGCTGCTGTCCACTTGATTTGATGTAAGCCTGGTGCAGACCTTGAGCACCTGGCAAGTCGGCGTCCTGCCCCTCAGCTGAGCAAAGTTCGGGTGCCCGTACAGACATGGAAAATACAGGCCAGTGGGTAGTTTACCAGCTTGCTGGTCAACATCTTATGTCCCCCAAGATCCTCCCTCCTGGCGCCCCGCCAACCCCCATCAGAGGTGCCAGAGCGTAACCAAACCCAGCCCTCAGTGACATGCCCCACACAAATCCATGAACAACATGGTCTGTAACCCATGAGGCAGCTCTCACCAGCTCCTTTCCTTTCCGGCTCTCGTGGTTAGTGAAGAATCGAAAGCCATTGTGGCTAAACCCCTTCAGGAGCACCATGCGGGCAGAGGGCCTCCCATCCCTGAGCCAGGGAACAAATGCACCAGTCAACACAGAAGTGCAAGCACATACAGACATACATTCCAGAGACTGCCCTCCTGCCCAGGCAAAGGTGAAGGGAATCTACCCTCTTCTTTCTGGTCATGAATTGAGCATTGCGGAGATCAGGAAGGACGATTCACCACCCTCTCTCACCCTGTACCTCATTATAGGAGGCTGCACATTACAGGCTTCTTTGCCTTCCTCTAAAGCATTTGAGATTGGACCCCGCTGGAGCCAGCATAATGGGCTGGCTGGGTCCCCTGTCTGGTGTAATAGGGCAAATGCCCAGTCCTGTTCCAATACATAGCTGTGCCTCTGGATCCGCTCCTTACTATCCATACAAACATGTCGGAAGCTGTCTGCTCCCCTACTTGCCAGGTTACCCAGCCCAGGATACGCAAGCTGGCAGGGCATCTCACTGCAGGAAAGCAGCAAAGGAAGCCACCCAAAGACGCAGATAGGAGAGATTCTGGGCCAGCGACTCCCTTGCAATGCCCACCTGGTACAGGTGGCCAGGCACATAGCATTGGCTTCGCCAATCGAGGGGCACTGCATGGCCTCTTCAAACCACACGGCAAACTGCTTAATCGGGTCAAAGGAGGCGAGATGTTTCTCCTCAAATGCCTGCACAGGACAGAAACGGGGGAGAGGAGCAGAAGAATTGGAGTGTTACACCCCCACCCATCAACCGTCAGGATCCTTCACTTCACCACACATCATCTCAAATCCTGCTAACCCTGTAGCTGCAGGAACCAGCCCACAGGAGTTTAGTGTCACAACTCCTGGCCCGCTGAACGGTCTCTGATTATCCACATTTGAAAGGAGGCACATTGCTTAAAGTCACACAATGAGCCAACGACAGAGTCAAACACAACCTAAAGTCCTGACGCTGTCCTGCCCATCTCCCTGTTCTAGCCACTGGAGAATACACTGGTTTTTTATTTCATTCACTGCTTGTTGATTTTTTTAGAACAGCTGAGCTCTGAAGCTGCTGTCTTGTCCCATGCTGACTAATGGAAAGGCTGGTCTTGAAGCTTAAATCATGGGCCTGGGAGTCAGGAGACCTGGATTTTAGTCCCAGCTCTGCAGGACCTTACCCTCTCGCCTCTTTGTGCCTCAGTTTCCCCTGTAAATTAAGATTAGTATTTAGGTCCCTCACAGGTGGTTATGGGAAAGTTTTACCGGTTAAACTAATTATACTGGTGTAGCCCCGTACGTGGACACATTTATTCTGGAATAAATGGGGGGATTTTTTGGTTTAACTTCAACCCTTCCCAACTGACATAAACTAACTTGTCAAAAGGTCCTCTCATACCAGAATAAGAGTGTCCACATCGGGGTTATACCAGAACAGCCACAATCTAAATTCACACCTTAGCTTATACCGCTATAACTCTCTCGTGTAGCCAAGTCCTTAGACAGAAGGGCGGGCTATTAAAGTCAGGTACAGCCCTGTGGGTAACATAAGAATGGCCATACTGGATCATATCAACGGTCCATCTAGGCCAGTATCCGGTCTTCCAACAGTGGCCGATGCCAGGTGCCCCAGAGGGAATGAACAGAACAGGGAATCATCAAGTGATCCATCCCCTGTCGTCCAATCCCAGCTTCTGGCAAACGGAGGTTAGGGACAATCAGAGCATGGGGCTGTGTCCCTAACCATCCTGGCTAATAACCATTGATGGACTTGTGCTCCAGGAACTCATCTCATTCTTTGAGCCCCGCTGTACTGCTGGTCTCTGCGCTGTCCCCTGATGGACGAGTGCCACAGGTTGGCTGTGAGCAAGGAACCCATCCTGGTCCCTAGAGATGGACAGGGCCCTCACAGGGCTTTTCTGTGATCCCCACCATGACTCCCCACCCAGACTTGGGATAAGAGCAGGGCAGGATCTGGGGGAGCCTCTAGGGGAGGGAGCCCCATGCCTCAAGGGGCAGCAGGGTCAAGACCAGCTCACCTGCCAGCCCGGGCACCTGTGGGGGAGGGGTGATTGTGCACCCCACCTGTGGGGGGGAGGAGGGGCAGATTTCTGATCCCTCTCCTTCCTCCTCCTCGCCCCCTTCACCTCCCTCTTTGAGCCCCCCCCTAGAACCCCCCCCCCCCCCCCCCCCCCCCCTGCCCCCCCCCCACCTGGACCCCTCCCCCCCAACTCCCCCTGTAGCCCCTCCCCGGACCCCTCCCCGGACCCCTCCCTCCGGTTCCACTCTAGTCCCCCCCTGTAGCCCCCCCGGGAGGCCCCTGTAGCCCCCCCACCTGGACCCCTCCCCCCGGACCGCTCTCACCTCCTTGTCCCCCCGGTAGCTTTTCCTTAGGGGCCCCAGGTCCATGGCTGCAGCCGGCGCCAGCACCTGCCCAGGGGGACGGGAGCCGAGCCAGGCCCAAACGCGCAGCCCGCTCCGCGCCGCGTAACGCATCATAGCCCCGCCCCCGCCGCGCGCGCGCAAAGACCCCGCCCCTTAAGAGGGCAGGACGCCGGACGTCCCGCACGCCGGGGCGGGGCGCTTTCAGCTCACGCCCCTGTCCCAGCAGCCAATAGGGAGCCGATCCCTGGCCTCCAATCAGGCGGGAGACAGGGCCAGACCTCAGCCAGTGGGGAAGCGGCAGGGGCGGGACTCGGGGACCAGGAAATGGTGTCAGGGCTGTAAACAGGCACATGGAGGGGATGTTAAAGGTACAGTGTCCCGGGGGGAGGGAAGGATGGGGGTGGATGACAGGAGGTGGGGGACGAAAGGGAGGGTCCATGCCGGGGGCATATGGAGGAAACAGGGAAGGGGACGTGGGGGGAACAGACAGGAGCAAGGAGGGAAGGGGGCAGACAGGGGACATGTGGGGGGAATAGACAGAGGGAAGGGGCAAACAGGGGACATGTGGGGAAAACAGAGAGGAGGAGCAGACAAGGCTCCAGACAGAAGACAAGTGGGTTCAGTCAGGGCAAGGAGAAGAGGATGGGGATCAGACAGATGTCATGAGTGGGGGGGAAATCAGACAGAGGACAAGGAAAGGAAGACGAGAAAAGAGCTGAAAAGAGACAGGAATAGACAGGTTCAAGTACATGAAGGGTTGTTACAAGGAGGAGGGAGAAAATTTGTTCTTCTTGGCCTCTGGGGATAGGACAAGAAGCAATGGGCTTAAATTGCAGCAAGGGAGGTTTAGGTTGGACATTAGGAAAAACTTCCTGTCAGGGTGGTTAAGCACTGGACTAAATTGCCTGGGGAGGTTGTAGAATCTCCATCATTGGGGATTTTTAAGAGCAGGTTGGACAAACACCTGTCGGGGATGGTCTAGATAATACTTAGTCCTGCCTAGAGTGCAGGGGACTGGACTAGATGACCTCTCAAGGTCCCTTCCAGTCCTATGATTCTATGAGGTTACAAAAAAAGGAGGAGGCCAGACAGAGGGCAAAGTGGGTGATCAGGGCAGGGGTAGTAAGGGAGGAGGAGAAGGGAACAGAGAGCAGTGCAGGGACAGACAGGGACAGGATGAGGGAGAAGCAGGTGTCAAAATAGGCAAACGGCTGTTTTTAGAGGGGGGTTGGGGAATCAGATGTGGGACAAGGAGGGGGACGTGTGCATCAGAGAGAGGGGAGGGAGATGGGGGAACCAGGTCAGAGGAGAGGGTGATGGGGCTAATCAGAGAGAAGGATGGAAAGCTAAACAAATCCTAAACCAAGAGAATGTGTGTATGGGTGCTGAGGGGTAGAAGTTGGGGGCTGGATCAACTGGACCAATAGTGAGGGTGTTAGGACAGTGTCAGATCAAAACTGGTATTTGTATACAATCCTTTTCCATTTCTTTTTTCCTGCTGGTGTCTCTTCCCATCTCTCTCTCCCTTCTCTCTTCAGCAGGTTGAGTTTTCCTCCCTCTCCTTCATTATGTTTCATTGGGGCTGGAAGGTGTGACTATGAGAGGCAATGTCTGGCGGTGTCACTGACCTGCAGGCTCTGCAGAGCCACCTCCAGGCCATGGACCAAGGGATGGGAGATGGCGAGCAGCCAGACGATCACCCACTGTACAAACTGCCTGAGCCTGGGCTGGAAGGTGCTGTTCTCTGCAGCCCTGACTTCCAACAGCCCCAGGAGCTGGAGCTCCAGGAGTCCCGAGGACACGCCCCCCCAGAATGTACCAGGTATGAAGGGGGACATGCCACAACAGATTCACCCAGCTGGACCCACTGAGAACTGGTGAGAAGGCACGGTAGTGGGGGCCTGAGGTGACTTTTTGCAGAAGGCAGTGTGGCTTAGAGGCTAGAGTCCTGGACTGGGATTCAGCAGACCTGGGTTTGATTCCTGGCTTGGCTACTGGTCTGATGGGTGACCTTGGGCAAGCTACTTCCCCTCCAGCTTTAATGGTTGCTGTTGTTATGGGACACCTGCCCAGCAGGAACTGGATTGTGACCCTGAAACTTTTTTCTTACAATCCCTTGAACAGTCAACGGATGGTAACAGCTGGCAGTCACTGGGCTGGATTTGAACTGTCCCTGACAGGGAAAAGGCACCAGCTCCCATTCCCCTTAGCCCTCTGGTCCCAATTCCTAGGGAATGACTCTGCACAGCCCCAGAAGCAGCAGCTACAATTCAGAACCTCGTGTGAGCGTAGCAGATAGGGCGCTGGACTTGGGTTTTACACCCATCTCTGCTGCGGACTCTTTAGGCTGCTTATTCTATCCCGTGCCTTAATTCCCTGTCTGTAAAGTGGGGATAATAGTTTCCCCCATATCATAGAATCATAGAATATCAGGGTTGGAAGGGACCTCAGGAGGTCATCTAGTCCAACCCCCTGCTCAAAGCAGGACCAATTCCCCAACTAAATCATCCCAGCCAGGGCTTTGTCAAGCCTGACCTTAAAAACCCCAGGTGTGTGCTTTGAAGATGAATTGGAGAGGAGCCACAAGAATGAGGAAAGGATTAGAAAACGCCTTGTAGTGATAGACTCAAAGAGCTCAATCTGTTGAGCTGAACAAAGAGAAGGTTAAGGGGTGACTTGATCTGTAAGTACCTACATGGGGAACAAATATTTAATAATGGACTCTTCAATCTAGTGGAGAAAGGTCTAACACGCTCCCATGAAGCTAGACCCATTCAGACTGGAAATAAGATGTAAATGTTTAATAGTGAGGATCATTAACCATTAGAATAATTGACCAACGGTCATGGGGGAGTCTCCATCACTGGCAATTTTAAAACAAGATTGGATGCGTTGTTCTAGATGATCTGCCCTGGGAATTGTTTGGGGGAGTTCTCTGGCCTGAGGTGTACAGGAGGTCAGACTAGATGATCACAATGATCCTTTCTGGCCTGGGAATCTGAGTCCATTAATAAGGGTGAGTGGCTCTGATGCTGCAGTGAGGAGGGCCATCTAAGTCCCTAGATCGAGTGAATGCGTTAGCGGGGGGGGGAATGGAAGAGCTCTTTGTCACTAGGACCTGTCTGATCTCACAAGCTAAGCAGAGCCGTGTCTTTGTCCAGGAGACTTCCCCAGACCACCCCAGTGCTGGTGATTCGGCAGCATGCCAGGAGGTGCTTAGCAGCAATTTAGGTTGGATTCGCAGAAGTGCGAGGCCCCTGCAATGCTCACTGAAGTCAGAGGGGCTTTGAATATACCGTCTCTTGAATTACACCGAAAGCCACAATCCTGAAGGCTTGTGGCCGTTAAAGATCCTCTGGAACTTTTCACAAGACTTAGCCCCAATAGCCTGCCCAGTGGTGGAGTTCCAGCGGTTCCAATCTACCTCCAGAAATTCCCCCTGGAGTTTCAAGTGGATATAACATTCTCCTTCACTTCCTCCCATAAATTGCCGTGTTAAACAGCTGCCACATACCACCCCAGAGGTGGCTGCATTTCACTGGTGGGTGATGTGATTGCTGCGTGCGCACATGTGCATACACACAGTTTGTACAGTATTTGGAGACAGTAAGGGCTGGAAAGATGTGATTTAATTATACTCGCTTCTTCTTGGCTTTTGTCTGCTTCCAGCGCCCAACCCCATGGAGCCCTGAGCAGCCTTGGGAGGCCCAGCCACTCTCTGCTGTGCGTGGAAGAGGAGATCAAGAACCGGAAAAGACCCAGGCTCTCCAACGGACCCCAGGCCAGTCCCAGCCTTGTCTCTCACTTCCCTCGTGCGCTGAGCGGGCCACAGCCCCAGGGCCCGTCCCCCTTTGGACACGTCCTTCAGAGCAATAGCCTGGATCTCCACAGCAGACGTCCCCAGGACGGGCTGCCACACACCAGGACTTTGGACAATCCCAGAGCCACTCATTCTGGGGCCTCGGTGCTCTACAGGCCCAGCACAGAGCAGCTGGAGTCTCCATCCCTGACTTACGGACTCGAGGACGGCTGCCCATGGAGCAGCCGAGCTCCCTCAGGAGGCAGCAGCATTAGCAGCCGAGCGAGCAAGGTGACGGGTCTATACGCTGAGCTGGTCAAGGAGCTGGAGCGGCAGATGGCCGAGCTGCGGCATCTCCTCGCCTCTCGCGAAGAGGCCGCCACGGGGCAGGAGAGGAGGATCAAGGAGCTGGAGCTGGAGAATCAGCAGCTGAAGAGCCAGCTCCGGAACCTAGAGGAGCAGAACGACCTCCTCTCCAGCCGGAGCGGGGCAGGGGCAGCGGCAGGCAGGACGGTGCTGGGGCCCGGAAACAGCGGTGTTGGTAACCGAATCCTCCTTCCTTTCCTGCCTTAGCATCGTGGAGGCAGTTTGCAGCTCTGCCAGCTCCGATGGCGTTAACCCGCTCTCGGGCTCCGAGGCCTCAGCTGGTCTCTGCATTCCCCTCTTAAAACGGTGCCCAGCTGGCTAGAGGCATCAGAGCGTGCGTGGTGGGGGCATCACCTTATCCTGAGGTGTCAGGCCTGGAGGCAGCAGCTCAGCCTGATGGACCAATGGGCAAACCCCATGTCCCTAGGTTAGAGCTGGGAATACCCATGTGTGAGCTCTGGGCTCGGCCGCAGACTCTGGCCTCCCCCTGCGCCTGGCTGGGCGTTCCCGCCTCCAGCTCGAGTGTGCTGCCTAGAGAGAAGAGCACGGCCTGCCGTCTGGGCAGCTACACGGGTGCCAGCTCTGTAGAGAGGCTCCTGGGCTGGGATCAAAGGGACAGACACCTGTAGGAGCTCTGGGCAAGAAGTGGGCACAAGGTGAGCAGCAGGGTGGATAGGGAAGGACCCCTATTCTTTGTGCGTGTCTGGGACTCTCGTGTGACCCAGCTCAGCCTGAGGCCTGGCCAGGGATGGAATTCCTCTGCGATGCTCAGCTCTGTCTCTGTGCGCGCGTCTCTCCCCAGACATCAACGAGAGCAACATCCAGTTCCTGAAAGGCCTGGTGGGGCTGCTGGAGAGCAACGCAGCATTGCAGGTGGGTGTCCCAGCGTCTCCCCTTGTCTGAGCGGTAGCTACCAGCGCCTTGGAAGCGAAAGGCTTCCCTGGGTGCGTACGAATCAGAGGCCGGAGATGAAGAAACCCCATTCGAGCCCATCTGCCCAGCCCTACAGCCCTGGAGAACATTTTCTAAGGGTTAGCCCAGTGTAATTTTAACTATTCCAGACAATGGAGGGGATTTTGCTCCTGGGGAGAGGATCCCACACCCTCTGCTGTCATTCTTCACCTCCCGCCCCCATATCCCAGTTAAACCCCATTGTATCATTGCAGGGGCAAGCCGAGTCTCCTGGGCACCCCCTTGGTGTTTCCTCCCTCCATAGCCTCTGATCACATCCTCCTGTTTAGCCAAGCCTCACCGATTTAGCTCAGTTCCTCCAGCCAGGACCCTGATCTTCTCTGAACACCCTCCAGTTTCCTTCTGGTGTTGAGGAGCCGAGAACTGAAAGCAGGTTGGGCCAGAGCTTATGGAGGGCCTGTCCCCTCCTGGGAAGCGGGCAGGGGCAGAGGCAGGAAGGGGTAGCTCATGTATCACTCAGTTTTTCCACCACGCATTCGCTCCTATTGCAGGCCAATGGCCTCCAGCCATTCACCTCTCCCACTGTGGGGGAGCAGAGGTGCACCCCAGCTGAGGTCCCAAAAAGCCCCCCAGTCTGGAGGATGCGAGCTGGGGTCCCGAGCGGCTTCCCACCCTGGATGAGCACAGAGGACGGCTCGGGGAGCCCCGTCACGCTCAGCGATGCCACCTGCTTATGGGAGGAGAACATACAAGATACGCTGCCCGATGGCACCCCGGTGTGGGCGTCGCCCGTGGAGGTGGGTGATCCGCGATCAGCTCCTATGTGGGCCATTGCTCATTGAATGCCTGGGGATGCTGCCTAATGGGACCCTGGGGGGGGCACTAGCCATAATAGGGGGTGGCGCACACGCCTCGGGGGGAGAGTGAGTGTTGGGCATTATCTTTTCTCCTTGGAGCCAGGACCATCCCTACCCTTCCAGCAGGACAGGTGGACACCTCGGTCCCACACTTGTCCGGGCAGAGGCTGAACTTGGAGGGACCACAGCTACTTCCCAGCTTCCCGAGGGAAGCTGACCGGGCCCTGCTCTGAGATCCCCTCTCTCTTTGTTTGGCTCAAAGGCTCCATATCCTGCCCCACCCATACCACTTCCAGCTCTCTTAAAGGGGACCCAGGCAGACTCTGAACGGGTTGGGGAAATGGCTGCGACGGGGTCTTCCTAAATCGGCAACAGACGCACCTCGGTTCTTCCTTTTACCGATCAGCCAGCGCATGCCAAGCTCAGGCTTCTGTGATTCCCTGGGCCCACGCTTGCCCCCCGCCGCGCTGGGCAGGAGAACCGAGCCCAAACAGGCAGCTGCTCCAGCCTTAAAAGGTGCCTGGATTCCCGAGGACTGCGGAAATGGAGCATTAAGCCTCTCCTGGCAGAATGAGAGAGGAGACTCCTATTGCTGGCTCCGGGGGTGTTAGCCAAGCTCTGGCAGCTCTCCCGAGAGCAATGGGGTGCAGGTTTGCCCTATAGTATCTGGGGTGAGCGGCAGGACTCAGCTTGGAGTTCGGAGTGTGGCCCCTGCTCTCGGACAAACACCTTCCTGCCCTATTTTAAAGGCTTAAATTCCAGTTTAAAGGCAGGAGTGCAGTCGAGTGACTAGAGCAGGGAGGCAAGATTCCTGGGTTCTAATCCTGGCTGTAGGATGGAGTGTAGTCTAGTGGTTGGAGCAGGACTTTCATAGAAAGACTAGTATTCATAGAATATCAGGGTTGGAAGGGACTTCAGGAAGTCATCTAGTCCAGCAGGACCAGATTTTTGCCCCAGATCCCTAAACGGCCCCCTCAAGGATTGAACTCACAACCCTGGGTTTAGCAGGCCAATGCTCAAACCCCTGAGCTATCCCTCCCCCCTAACTCTTGGGTTATATTCCCAGCTCTGCCAGTAACGTGCTGTGTGACCCAAGGCAAGTTACTCAACCTTTCAGTGCCTCAATTTCCCCATCTGTAAAATGAGGGCTGATATCCCCCCCACTGAGATGAATGGGATTGGGCCTGAGAGAGGACAGCTGGGGTTAGCCCAGCGTCTGTCGCTTGTTTAGCCTGCACGGTGGGGTCTGCCTGAGTCTCCCCAGACTCCGGGCATCCACAAAGAGCAGAATGACGAGGGGCGTCTCTCCCTTTGCCATAGGAGAATGGGAGGCCCAAGCTGGAGCTGATCCCCAACTCGGGGGTCTACATCACCCACCACCAGCTGGACGACCTCTCGCAGGTTTCTACCGACAAGCCCAAGCTGATGACCAGGCGCCTGCTGGATTACTTCTTCTCCCGGGAGACGCTCGCCAGGTCTTCGGCCACCGGCCAGCGCATCGCCCACAACAACACGACCATGGAGAAACCCATCCGCCTGCCGGTCGCAGTGGTAAATGCTATCAAAGGTAGGGGGGGTGGGCAGGGGGCTCTGTGGAGGGAGATGGGGCGAGGCTGGGGCTCCCGACGACGCAGAGGGTGGAGAGCGCACATGGTGTCGATCCCCCGCAGAAGGGACAGGATGACGCTGTTTGATCCTGGCCGACAGGTTCCTTCTGCTCACCTCCTCCATTGTCCTTGCCCAGCAGGAGGGGTTCTGTTTGGTGCGAAGTCGGACTGCCTGGGACTGAATCCACAGAGCCGGCAGATAGCACCGGCAGGGGCACTTCAAGTGTCCGTCCCACACCAAAGCCAACGGGGCTGAGGCCTGCTTGGGGTTTTCCTCAGGCAGCCTTTCCGGTCTGCATGCCCGGTTCAGTTCTCAGCTCCCCTGCTGAGACTGCCAGAGCTGGCCAGTTAGTGCCGAGGTGGTGACGGCTGCTGGGGATCGGGACTAGCTGTCTACTGGCAAGAGGACCGAGCCGCCCCACTCCTTTCACCTTGGCCCTGCACCGCCCCAGGGAGATGATGATTTTCAGTCCCTGGCGAGCCGGGCTTGATTTGAATTGGGGACTTAGAGAGGAAAAGCTCAGAGCCCATTCCCAGCCCCTCGAACCATCCAATCTGCTATTTGGGAATATATTTTATCCGTACCCTCATCTGTGCTGGTACAACTCCCCCTTCTGCCGTAGTTCAGGACCCCCAAACACAGCAGCATTGTTACTGCCAAAAGAGTCATTGGGCCCGGCCCAGCGAATAACAAAACGTAACCACCTAGCATTAGTGGTGAGAAGCACGTGAGGCTGCAGAAAGAGAGGGTTAGCTTTAATACCCCAAGCTGTGTGCCTGGGTTGGACAGGCGGAGACGCCGGAACAATTCTAACAGCAGATGCAGGCCAAGGTTTCCAGAAAGGGTCCACTCGAGGCACCTTAAAGGGTCCTGATTTTCAGAGTGCCGGTGCTAAGTGCTTTCTGAAAACCCCATCAAGGGGTCTCAGATTGGGCACCCACAAGCCAAGGCAGCCCAGATCCCCAGTCACGTCCCCCCGCGCTTTACACACCTTCAACTCACTAGTGTTTCTGATCTAGTTAATCCGCCGCCCTCGTGCAGTTCCTATGATGTAGGGATTACCACCCCGTTCGGCAGCAAAGGATTCAGACACAGAGGGTGAAGAGACCAACGGGCTAAATGCAAGATCAGATTGGATGGGTGATGCCCCAGGCCGCAGAGCAAGTTAGTAGCACCTCTGGGATGAGAGCCTGGTGCCCTTGTCTGGGTCCCACATGCTGCAGGGTCTTAGGGGTTTGCATGCTGGGATCCGGCAGGATTCATCTCAGTGGATTCATAAAAAGCCAGAGCGACTCTGGTTGTTTGCTCCACTTCTCTGCCCTCCCCACCCTCCTCCAGAGTACGTCACCAAAGTGTGCGGCAAGAGCTGCAACTTCAACGCCGTGATCAACAGCAAGTGTGGCACCTCCCGGAGGGCAGTCAAGAAAATGATCATCAAGATGGAGTAGATGGCGCCTGGGCCGGGGCCTCCCAAACGTCCATCAAGACAACAGCGAACCAACTCTGAAAACGCTCCTCAGAGGATCCGTCGTCGCCCCCGCTCCAACGGACGCTGGGGTGCTGGCGGCCCAGGTCCCCTCCCACACAGCAGCTCTGGGGGTGAGCGCGGTGGAAATAACGCGCCCCTCCCGGCACGCGTTACGGGGGCAGCAGTGGTGCAGCTTGGGCTCTCGTGCACTTAGTACATGCCCCGCGGGGCCTGAAGCGCCTGTTGTGTGGCCGTCCTGGGGTGCTCAGTCCTAGCCTGCAGACCTCGGTGCGTGCATTCCTGGGGAGGGGTGACTTACGCCTTCTAATGAAGCGTCTGGGATCTGCCGCGCCTGGGGGAGCAGCGAGCTGGCGGGTGTGTTCTTCCGTTCTAACGAGTCCCTGAGGAGGGAGGGATGATCTCTGTCCTCTTTCAAAACTCGTCAGCTCCATTCTGGAATCCCGGCTCCGTGACGCTGAACATCAACGCTGCAGCCCCCTCCTCCGCCTCTGGGCAAGCGCTTCTCCCAGCGCATCAGACTGGAAGAGGGACAGTGCCGACTTTCTGGCCAGAGCAGGGGAACTTCTGCTTTGAAACAGTTCTTACCGGACTGTTTACCGGCCGGGCCTGTAGATAAACCCAGAGCTTTAGTCTGTGGAGTGAGGGGGGATTCAGTCTCCCTCCCATCGGGCAAGGTCTGCTCTCCTGCGGAGACTCATGGCCTGGCTCAACAGGCAAGTTCTCTGCTCGCCTGTAAGAATTTAACTGTGGGCGAGACATTTTTTCCCCCCTCCGTAAAAAAAGTTCCCATAAATACTCTATTTCTTGTAAATAAAACAATCCTTCCTCTCCTCCCAACTTCCCTAATAAAGGCTGGAATGTAACAGTGCAGGCTCAGTTGTTTCTCCTTCCTGCTTCCCCAAGCTCGTGGAATTTATAGTCTCTAGGGTTGTTATAGAGATTAAAAGTAGCATCTTGGGATGCTAAGCTGCCTACAGTAGACTCAGCCAAAACAGGCTGGGTAATTTTAACCGTCGTTCCTTCCCTCCTGTCCCAGATGCTGAACTATTTCTTACCGACCCCCCGAAGCCATGATCCAGCCCGAAGGCCTCTCTGAAAGAGAATTCTAAGTGGCCACTTTGGTGCAGTTATTGGCCTCCTCTGGCAGGCTCAGAATGGAGCAGTTCCCACCTTCCCATTCTCGAGAATGAGCTAACGATGACGCTGGCTCCTTTAAGAGGATCCTTCTCTCGCTTCCAGGAGATGTTAACAGAGCACAGCAGGGGCAGCGTGTGTGTGGAGGGGGAGGGATGGAGGTAGGGGGACACTTTCCAATGACTCCAGTTCCAGAGCAATTTCTCCCGCCCTCCAGGTCACCGGGCAGCTTTTGAAAGTCATTGGCTGTACTTTTTCCTGCCCGGGGCTGGTGAACGGGGCTTGATTGAAGGCCTTCGGGTACCCAGAGCAGGGACAGCACGAGGGCTTCCCCAACAGTGCCCCAGCCCTGGAGAAGGGGGTTTAAAGGGGCCAGCCCCCTCCCTCTGATTTTTGGTTGAGAACGCCCCCAGGGGGGATTATGGCCATGGTGGTTCATCTCGACATGGACACTCGTCTGGGGGGGGACCAGCAGCTCGTTTCCCAAGGTCAGGCAGGTTAGAGGGTAAAGCTTGTGTCGCCCCATCCAGAGAAGGACTCGCAGACCCACAGATGGTTCTGAGGTCCGGCCCGCCTGCACCGACGGGATCCTTTTTTGCGTGAAGCTCGGGAGGATTAAAGAGATGCTCCAAAAGATGAAAGCCAGTGGGCAGCAACTGTAAAACTCGTTGCAACAAGGACTGTCTCTTATTCTAATGTACAGCTCCTAGCACAATGGGGCCTTAATACAAATAACAGTGTGGTCTGGTGGGTGGGGCATTGGCCTGGGATTCAGGACACCTCGGTTCCATTCCCAGCTCTGCCACTGATCCTGAGCAGGTCACTTCCCCTCTGTGTGCCGATCTTTCTCCGCCCAGCCTTTGCCTTGTCTAGGTAGATTGTCAGCTCCTTGGGGCAGAGACAATGTAGGTGGCTCCAGTGGACGGGGTTGAAATCTCAGTGAGTCTGTTGGTGCTGTATATAAACAACTAACCTGGTCACCCCCCAACTAACCTTCTCACCTCTCCCCAAAAGCTGGTCTTTCTTACCGGGCGTCACGCTTATGAGACAAAGGATCCTTGGCGTCCCATGCTGGGTTTGCCTCTGGCGACTAAATTTATTTAGCAAGAAAAAACTCTTGGCTGACTCTGCACCAGCCAGCCAGTTACATCGTTAATAAAGAATAACAGATCTGTCACTTAATTCATAAAACATACCTCAAGCAGTTACACCTAAAAAATAAAGTGGATTTTTTTTTTTTAATTTAAAAGCTCAAAAATAACAAGCCATATGTTTTTGAAACATGTAGTAAACACGGAAGCAATATAGTCTATGATACAATATACACTATACACAGTGATGGGCTGCGGGGAGGTGGGGGGGGTCGGTATTATGGGCAAAAGAGGATTTAAAGATCCAAGATTCAAAAGGAAACGCCATGTCAATGGGAAATGAAAAGGAAAAATAAATCAGTGGAGAGAAAAAACCCTCTTCAATTCATTATTGGAAAAGAACTTTGGAGGGAAAAGGATTGGGAGGGGAGATTATGAACCGGGCACAATTAAATAAAAAAAAAAAAAAAAAAAAAAAAAAAAAAAAAAAAGAGGAAAGAAAAGGGGGGGGGGGGGAGATGAAGAAGCGAGAATAAAAAAAAAAAAAAAAAAAAAAGCACTCACGATACACAATGTTCATACTCGGGAGCTGGGAGCGTAAGGCAACAATTTCCATAGAAAAAAAGGACCTTCCAAAGGAGTTTATATAGAGAGATATTTATAGATATTTATAGATTTTAAATATAAAGTAGGAATGTGCCGCAGAGCGCCGGGTGGGCTGTCTGTGGAGTGCTGCCCCCTGCTGTGTCGAAGCTTCACAAGCGCGGGGAGGAGGGGGCCCACCATGAGAAAGTTTCGCTGGCATCCTTGTGCCGTTTACACGAGGTTGGCACGGCCCTGCTTGTTCAGTCCCCCCAGCCTGCGGCGCAGTGAGGAGGGGCTGCCGCTCGCACCCATGTCAGCATTTTCCTTTGGAAACAAGGGCTTCTCCTTCGTCCCGGCCCGTGCGATCCATGTCCGGCTCGGACGCGCTCTGCGGAGGAAGGAGCTGGATTCCCAAGGATTGTGCTGGAAGGCGGATGGCTTCCAAGGAAGGAAGATCAGCAATGACTCCTCTCCCCACGCGGACACCTCTGGGAGGGCATCGAAGCCAGGAGCGCGACTACGGCTGCGGAGTCCCAGGCTGGCCGTCTGCCCAACCCCTACGCCGTACCCTTGCCAGGGACTGTCCATGACAGTGCGGGCCTTAGCCAGTGCTTAGAGGCCCAGCTGGCGGCTCCCGTCTGGCTGCCGCTAAGCCTACAAGTTCTTGGTGACCAGGTGGGTTTTATAGTGCTTCGTCAGGTGGTCACTTCTCATGAAGCGCTTCTGGCACTGCGCACACTCAAAACGCTTATCACCTGCCAGGGAAACAAGAGCAACGTTCAATGCGCCAGAGGCCGGCGCTCGCTGCTGCCGCCAAGCGCCCAAGCCTCGATCGCTCCAGCTCGGAAGGGCGTGTGTCGCAGCCTCATGCCGGGAAGGTGGAATGCACCGATGCATGGTCCCCTTCCCGCCCAGCTCCCCGCGAGCACAGCTAGCATCCCGTCCCTCCCCCTGCAGGGAGATGACAGATCCGTGCCAAGCTGCGGTTGGGGCGACGCGAAGGCGGCAGAGACCCCATACGTTCTGGAGCCCCCCTCCCCATCGCCCCGGCGGGCAAGGCGGCAGCATGCTCTGGGGTTACTGGCGAAGCAGAAGCAGGGGAGGGGGGAGACAGTCCCACAAGACCAGCTCCGAGACGCGGCAGGGCTCTCCTCCCGACTACATGCAAAACATCCCGGCAGGACACGGGAGATGGGGAGCAGGGGCGGCGGGCAACAGACCTGTGTGCGTCCGGGCGTGCCGCTGCAGCTCGTCGCTGCGCGTGAACCTCTTCCCGCAGAAGACCCAGTTGCAGACAAACGGGCGCTCGCCCGTGTGCAGGCGGACGTGGGCCCGCAGCAGCGAGGTCTTGCGGAAAGTCTTGCCGCACTCAGGGATGTGGCAAATGTGCTTCTTCTTCCCCTGATCCCCTGACCTGGAGGGACAGGAAACCATCGCCACCGTTCCTCTTGCTGACATGGGGGTGGAGGAAGATGGCTGGCACGGTCTCTCTCCCCCCCTCTCCCCCTCCAATCGCCTGTCCCACCCCATCTGCCTGCTCACCTTTTCTCCCCGTCCTTGCAGTTGGGGCAGGTGCATGCCATGCGCCGCCTCTTCTCCCCAGGCTGGATCTCCCCGGACAGCGCCTGCTCCATCTGCAGCTGGATCTGGGTTGGGCTCAGGCCGCTGATGGTCAGGTTGTTGCCAGACACGTTTTGGACCGTCAGCTGCTGCTGGCCTGTGGATGAGAAGCAGAGGGAGAAGGGTATTAAGGCTGCTGCTCAGCGTCCCCCTTGGAGACCCCCGACTCCAAGGGGAGATGCAGCCCTCTCGCTGATGGTGTTGTACACACCTCTTTTCCCATACTCCTCACGCAAGCAATGCTCCAGCTGCCTAGCAGATCAAATCCTTAAAAGGGAGGCCTGGCAAAGGGAAAGGAACCAGCTCCGATAATGTGACCAGTCCCTACTCAGCACTTCCTTTCTCCTCTGTGCCACCCCAGCATGCAGTGTCCCAAAGGCCCTGGACCCCCCCATGGTGCTGGCCCTTTAAGGGGGAGGTAAGTCCCTTTTTTCTGAATATACTGTGCGGTTTTTCAAAGTTTTCAGTTTAACCCTTTGGGGTGGGGAACGATCGGAACAGGAAACGAAAAAGAAACTTTGAAAAAACGTGCAATATATTGACAAAAAAAACGGGACTTACCTGGCACCCCGAGGGGCCAGCTCCAAGCTCTGGCTTCAGGGACGCGGGAGCCTGGGCCACGCCGGGGGCTGGAAAGAAGAAAACTGATGTCAATGTCAGTGAGTGGAATTGATCCTCCCAGGGCCCCTGGATGATGGAAATCCAACATCCTTCGGTGCTGCTGAAAAAGGTCAGCTCAGCGCCTCTTCAGACCGAAGCCCTGAAGCTGCTGAGCAGATGCAGCATCGACAGGGCACGCTTTCCCTTCAGCGTGCCTCAAGACTGCTCTGCGGGGATCCTCTCTCTGCAGTGGAGAGGGCAGCTCAGCTTCCACAGTGCTTGGCTTCACCACGGGGGCCCGCCAAGCAAGTGGCCAACAAGCGCCAACTGGGGAGTGGAGACGTCTCTGTGGAAAACGGGCTGAGACACCCATCAACTCATCTCACGTATGGAACAGCCAGCGGAGCCTGGGCTGGATCTGAACTTGCAACCCTTGAGGTGGAAGGTCCCATTATCTCAGGACTCGCCTCTTTAGCCATCTACCCTACGCTGGAAGCTGGGAATTTACTGTGAAACCACTACACCATGATGGATGAGGCTGACAGGGGTGAATATCTGCCAGTGCCGATTCATTTATTTGCTGGTTTCGGGACGGATGTGTGTGCAAGCCCAGAATCATGGCAACTCACTTAGCAACTGTGCCGTATTTTACACTGCTTTGGTTTAGCCAAGCGAGGAAGACCAGCTTCCAACTTAAAAATCCAGCTGGGAATCTTGCCGCTTCCTGCTGAGGA